CCCCCCCCCCCCCCCCCCCCGGGGATTTAATCCGTTTTTCTTCTGTTTTCAGCCGCTCAATACAAATATTCCTCTCCCACAGAATTCCCCGAAGCCTTTTCCCCGGAGGAAGCTCTGTGGGCTTCCCATGTCTGCTCCCGCTGTGCAGCGCAGGGAGCTCAGCGCTGCCTTTACCTGTGCACAGCTTAAACCTTGTGATTCCAGAGCGCTTTGTAAAGCGGTGGTTCATCCCCCCGAGGGGCAGGAAGTCCTCGGTGGCAGAGCCGGGCCGCAGCCCCTGGCAGGGCTTGTGCTGGCTCCGAGCTGCCCAGTCTTTGGGCATTGCCATTTGCAGTCCCTCGGTGCACCTCGCTGTGCTGTGGGGAGGCTCCTGTAACCCAGATACTCTCAGCACCCTGATGGCAGTGACAGCAGTTTGTGTCATCCATCGCTGTGTACCCAAACCAGGGATGTCACCCCCGTGCCGTGGGCATCACCTGGTCAGCAGGGTTATGGCTTGGTTATGCTATGTTTCTCCTGCAGCTCTTGGGGCAGGCAGAGGAGTGATGCTCGGGGTTTGATGTGGGTGTCACCTGGTTGCCATCGTTAGCACCTGGCTATCCGGGTACCACCTGCAGCTCCTGAGTGTCACCTGGTTCCCATGGCTACCGCCCTGCCATCATGGGTACCACCCCCAGCTCCTGGGGTTTGACGTTGATGTTCCTCGCTGGGGACGTCCTGCCGTGCGGTGCCAGCTCCCACCAAGGGCTGAGCGTTCGCTGAGCATCGCACGGAGCCCATCTGGGCCTCCACGCTGCCCTCGAAGAGCCCGTCCTGCCCGGAGCCGTGTTTCCCCCCCATCCTCGGGGCTGGGCGGGGAGGGGATGGGGCCGGGGCTGTGGGCAGGGCCGAGGGAGATGACGCCGGGTGAAGGCTGCTGAGAGCCTGCCCAGCCCCGCCGCAGGCCGAGCGGGTGGCCGCGCACTCGGGCTCCGGCAGCATGGACGTGACCGTGGATCTGTACCTGGCCGTCCCGCTGCTCTTCACCGTCCTGGCCATCGTCCTCGCCTCGGTCTTTGTGAAGCTGCGGGGAGGCGAGGGGCAGCGGGCGGCGGAGCGGCAGCCAGAGCCGGGCAAAGCGGAGCCGGGCAAAGCGGAGCCGGGTAGAGAGGAGCCGAGCTCGGCCGCCGGGGGCGAAGCGGAGCCGCAGGGAGCGGCCGAGGGGCCGGGGGTAGAAGGGAGCCGGGTGCCGGTGGAGGAGGTCGGGGCGGGCGGCGAGGAGAAGAAGAAGGAGGAGGAGAAGGAAGAGAAGGAGAAGGAGGCGGCGGTGGCCGAGCAGAAATCCGCGGCCGAGCAGAAATCCGCGGCCGAGCAGA